ACTTGGGTTCCTTGAGTTTATAGTATGAGACGTCTGCGTAGGTTCGTATGTGGGTGCGTATCGAAGTAAGTGACTTGTAGGGGTTCGTAATCATTAGAATAATGTCATCTGCAAAGAGGCTGATTTTGTGTTCGTGCTTAAGAAATTTGATTCCTGAGAAACTGGGGTCATTTCTGAGGTTGGATGCCAATGGTTCGATGAGTAAAGCGAAGATTATGGGGGAAAGAGGGCAGCCTTGTCTAGTTCCGTTAGAAATTTGGAACGGTTGTGAAAGCGTGCCGTTGGTGAGAACTCTAGCGGAGGGTTTGGAGTATAGGGATAGAATTGCAGACAACATCCAATCCGTAATTCCAAATTTTTGGAGAGTAAGCGTCATGAATTGCCAGTGAATGCGATTGAATGCTTTTTCTGTGTCAAGTGATAGGAGGAGTGAGGGTTGATTGTCTGATTCAAGGTGGTGTGGTAGTGATATAATTCGTCGAGTCGCGTCGGGGGCCTGTCTACCTGGTATGAATCCTACTTTGTCAGAGTGGATTAGGGTGGGAAGGTATGGAAGCAGTCGTTGAGCTATTATCTTGGCATATATTTTTAGGTCTGTGTTAAGCAGTGAAATTGGTCTATAGTTTTGAACTAATTGGGGATCTTTTACCTGGTTTCGGGATAGTAGAAATTATTGATTGTAGCATATCAGAGGGAAATTCCCCTTTAGAAGGAACGTAGTTATAGAGAACCGAGAGGTGTGGCTTGAGATGGGGTGCGAACGTCTTATAATATTCATTGGTGAAGCCGTCGTTACCGGGTGATTTTGTTCAAGGGGAGTTTGTTTATGGTTTTCTCGATCTCTGTGGGTGAAATCGGCACAGAGAGGGAGGCTAGTTGGGAAGGCGTAAGATGGGGGAGATTGTTATGATGTAGGAAATTTTCAATCGATGGGGTTGTTGGTTGGGTCGTGTTTAAGTAACCTTTTATATTGTATAGAGATTGATAGTAACACGCAAACGCATTAGCTATGTCTTGTGGGTTGGTCAATGGAGCACGTGAGATTGGGTGTTGGATTGTGGAAATTTTGTTTTTAAGCCGTTTTTTGTGTGATGATTTTGGTAAGAAGAGAGTTTGATTTGTTGCCTAGCGCATAGAATTGGGATTTTGTTTTTTGGAGGTTCGTATCATAAGTATGTAATAGAATAGTACGTAGTGCTTTCCTATCTCGGTTTAAGGCCGCGGTCGTGGTAGGGTTCGGATTTGGTTTGTTAGTGTCTTCGTTTTTGCGTATAGAGGCTAGGAGTTGGTCAATTTGCTGTGACCGTTGTTTTTTAATGCGAGAATTTAGTTGGATGAGGATACCTCTCATATAAGCTTTATATGTTAACCAAAGTGTGGTAATAGAGATATCCGGAGTGATGTTAGTTTAAAAAAAGAGGTGATGAGCATCTAATATAAATTTTTGGTTTTCCGGGAGTTTCAAAAGTGTAGAATTGAGTCTCCAAATAGGTTGAATCGCTGACCGTTGGTTATCGTCTAAAAATATGCTGATCGGAGCATGGTCGGACCAAGTTATAGTACCGATGTTGGATGATGACACGTGTTGTAAAGTCCATTTGTCAGTGACGAACATGTCAATTCTAGAGTACGAGAGATGTGGGGGTGAAAAATAGGTGTAATCTCTCTCCGAACCATGTTGGCATCTCCAGATGTCGTATAAGTCATGGTCATGTAAGAAGCGGTTGAGGTTGGGAGATGAGGTTGAAGAGTTTGCGGTAAAATCTTATTTGTTTGCTATTCGGACCGTATATGTTCACCAAGGTATAAGTAATCTCGTTAATTTTGCATATCAAGATAAGGTATCGCCCTTGTGGGTCGATTATGGTGGAGGTAAGTTGGAAAGAAAGAGCGTCATTAACAGCGATAATAACTCCGTTCTTCTTTTTAACATTTGTTGCCATGAATTGTTGAGAGAATCGGTGAAGATACAGTTTAGGGGTCTTTTCTGTGGCGAAGTGAGATTCTTGTATAAAGAATAGGTCTGTTTGAGATTTTCGGATTTCTCTTGATAGCATCGATCTCTTGAATGGGGAGTTGAGGCCTTGTATATTAAGAGATGTGATGGTAATCATTTATAGGCGGATTTTTGGAATATAGACATATTTGGGGTGTTCTTTGGCAGTATTCGGGGTCAGGAGGCCTAAATCCAGTGTCAGAGATATATAGCTGGTGGTGCCATGGAAAGGGATAGGTGGAAAGGAAAAAAGAGAACAGTAAAAAAACACTTGCGTATAACGCAAGTAACCAATGTAGCCAGGATCGCTACTTCAAAAATGAGGGAGTCAAACAGGTTTTGACCTCCGGAAGGGTCATACCTATAGAAAATTTTGAAAATGAAAGTCATTGGGTATAGGTCGATCGCCAGAAATAGGAGTGTTCAGAGAGAGCCTCCAGGGAAAAATATAAACGTGTGTAAACGCGGCTTGTGCCGCTAGGCCCTTCAGGTCGCTTCCATATTTTGGACGGAACCAGGGTTGTTCTTCTGTGGATCTGCAGGCAAAATGGTCCAGACCTTAAGAAAGTCCAAGACAGCCTCCAAATTCTTAATAGTATAAATTCTGCCTTGGTGTCGTACTATTAATTTTGTTGGGAAGCCCCATTGATAGGCCATACCATGATTCCTGAGCGCTTTTGTGATTGATATCATTTTTTTCCTATTGGAAAGTGTGGCCTTGGATAAATCAGCATAGAGACGCAGATTCGCATGAGAGGGTGGGAGTGGAGGTGGATTTCTAGCCGCCATCATAATTCTCTCTTTAATGTGGTAGAAATGTATGCGGACGAGCACATCTCTAGGGATGGATGCTGACAGGAATGAAGGCTTAGGAAGTCGATGTGCTCGATCGATCGTGGCCTCTACTTCGGAGAGTGTTGGGATTAAAAGCTTGAGGAAGTGTTGCAGATACAGCAACAGTGCTTCGGTAGACACTGTTTCTGGGATCCCTCTGAATTTGATATTATTACGGCGCGATCGATCCTCCATGTCAGCCAATTTTAGGTTCATTTGTTCGATGTCCGATATGTGATCTGTATGAGCATCAATCAAATCACTGTGTGCCTCTATGATGTCTGCTATATTGGTCTCAATATGGCGGATTCTGCGTTCCTGTCTTTGCACCAAAGAAGTAATTTGGGTTAATGGCGCAGAGATATCATTATGTAGAGTTTGGCGCAGTGATGTTAGCATGTTCTGCATGCAGATTTCGGTCAGTGGTTGGTCAGACGCTGGAAATGCGTCTATGTCAGGCAAGGAGGGATGTGGTGGCTGAGGCGGAAGGTTTAGGGCCTGGCAAGTGTCATCAGGGTCACTGTCAGGAATGGACTGGCCAGCAATAGTGGGACTCAGCTGCCTTATGAGCTGCAGTACCAGGGCTGGCCAGCGGGTGCTCCCAGCAATCAGAGACTCAACCTTGCAGCCAGTCAAACACCTGGAACTAATTATACTGGTGTATTTAAGGGACATTCAGACCTGCAGACTCTGCCTTGGTGTTGTGTTTCTCTTGGGCCCTGTATCCTGTTCCTGCTCTCTGTTCCTGTCTGATTCTCTGCTGACCCTGCTCTGATCCCTGGCTTGTCTGACCATTCTCCTCTGCCTGACCCTCTGTACCACGCTGCCCGCTACCTGCTGAACCTGGCCTGTGACCCCGACCATTCTCCGCTTGCTCCCCCTGTACCTACCTGCCCGACTGATATTGACCCGCCTGCCTGACGACGCTTGCATTGTATGTACTGTTATCTGTGGGTGGTTGGTTGGTTTGTTTGCACTGTGTTATGTTTTAGTATTGCACTGCGTTTATGTTTGTATTGTTAGTGTTAATAAATTACATTGTTTATAACATATCTGAAGTCTGCGTTTCCCTGCGTCAGCCACACACCTCTGGTCACACCCGGGAGCCCTGACATTACACCAAGGCCAATCCTGACCAGAAGTGGCTGCACAGGGAAGCCATCTTGGCTTGTTGATGGGAAGGATGGATCTGGATGAGGTTGTGTATTTATATCTGCTAGTGTTTGATGACAGGGAGTATGCTTATCAAACTCTGAAGGAGTATACCCGGGATGAACTGCTAGAATGTATACGGCTCGCTCATGTTCTAGTAGATCAGGGCACAGAGTTCTCTGAGGTGCAGCCTTTGATTGAGGTTTGTGCTGAGTTGGTTTCATCTGGTTCCCCCGAATGCAGGGATGAATTTTTGCCACCATTTAGTGCAGACCAGGTAGAGTCCCTGGTGTGGTTATTAGAGGATGATGTGGGTTACTTTCTGGAGCGTTATTCCACATGTTCACCACAGGTACTAAGAGATTGTATAAACGCAGTGCAGTCTTTGGTCAGACAGGCTTTGTGTAAGCTCAGCTTTGTTCAACCCATACTGCAGACATGGACAGACTTGTTGCACCCAGCCTCAGTCAGTTTACAAAAACCCAGTCCTGCTTCTAATCTATTTCCTCAAAGCTCTACTCCTGTATTCCCAACAGCTCCTCCTGCCCTGCTATCTACCGCATGTCAGTACCCTGTTCCCACTCGCTGCACCTATCCTGCCTTTAACCCTGTAAAAAAGCCCTCTGTAGCAACTGCTCCCTCTCCTGTTCCATCCTCCACTTCTTCTCTGTCTCCAGCTGCTCCATTCGTTTGCAGACCTGCGTTTACTTGCAGTGCTCCAGTAGTTAAAACCAGAAAAAAGCGAAAATTCTTTCCAACCAATACCATCCTGCCAGTATCCAACCGGTGAACCTGCCTTCCGTGGTTCAGCCTGAAGCCTCTACTCAGCCTACTTCGGCCTGATGCCTGTACTCAGCCTGATGCCTGTACTCAGCCTGATGCCTGTACGCAGCCTGATGCCTGTACTCGGCCTGATGCCTGTACGCAGCCTGATGTCTCTCTACTCGGCCTGAAGCCTCTACTCGGCCTGAAGCCTCTACTCGGCCTGAAGAAGCCTCTACTCAGCCGGACGCCGGCATTCAGCCTGATGCCTCTACCCAGCATGATGAACTGATCCAGCCTGACGATCCTATTAGGTCAGTTGACTCGATGCCCGCTGTTGATCCAGATGATCCGGTACCTGATCCGGTGCCCGTGCCCCGCCCGCTGTCGTACCTGGTGACTCGGTGCCCACTGCCTTGCCAGATGACGTGGTGCCCGCTGGCGAGCCAAATGACCTGATGCCTGGTGACCCAGTGCCCGCTGTCATACCTGGTGACCCGATGCCCGCTGTCGAGCCAGACAATCCGGTACCTGATGACCCGGTGCCCACTGTCGTGCCTGTTGACTCGGAGCCCACTGCCTTGCCAGATGACGCGGTGCCCGCTGTCGAGCCAAATGACCTGATGCCTGGTGACCCGATGCCCGCTGTCCAGCCAGACGATTCAATGTCTGCCCCAGTGCCCGCGGTCATGCCAGTTGACTCGGAGCCCACTGCCTTGCCAGATGACGCGGTGCTCGCTGTGTTGAGCCAAATGACTTGATGCCTGGTGACCCAATGCCCGCTGTCCAGTCAGACGATCCAATGTCTGACCCAGTGCCCACGGTCATACCAGTTGACTCGGAGCCCACTGCCTTGCCAGATGACGCGGTGCCCGCTGTCGAGCCAAATGACCTGATGCCTGGTGACCCGATGCCCGCTGTCCAGCCAGACGATCCAATGTCTGACCCAGTGCCAGCGGTCATGCCAGTTGACTCGGAGCCCACTGTCGTGCCTGGTGACTCGGTGCCCGCCGCTTCGCCTGGGGGCCCGAGACCTGTCGCTCCGCCTGGGGGTCCGGCGCCCGCCGCTCCGCCTGGGGGTCCGGCGCCCGCCTGGGGGCCTGAGACCTGTCGCGCTCCGCCTGAGGGCCCGAGACCTGTCGCTCCATCTGGGGGTCCGGCGCCCGCCGCTCCGCCTGAGGGCCCGAGACCTGTCGCTCCGCCTGAGGGCCCGAGACCTGTCGCTCCACCTGGGGGTCCGGCGCCCGCCGCTCCGCCTGAGGGCCCGAGACCTGTCGCTCCGCCTGGGGGTCCGGCGCCCGCCGCTCCGCCTGAGGGCCCGAGACCTGTCGCTCCACCTGGGGGTCCGGCGCCCGCCGCTCCGCCTGAGGGCCCGAGACCTGTCGCTCCATCTGGGGGTCCGGCGCCCGCCGCTCCGCCTGAGGGCCCGAGACCTGTCGCCACGCCTGGGGGCCCGAAACCTGTCGCTCCGCCTGGGGGCCCGAAACCTGTCGCTCCCCTGGGGGTCCGGCGCCCGCCGCTCCGCCTAAGGGGCCCGAGACCTGTCGCTCCACCTCCGCCTGGGGTCCGCCTGGGGGTCCGGCGCCCGCCGCTCCGCCTGGGGGCCCGATGCCTGTCGCCCCGCGGGGGGGGCCGGCGCCCGCCTGTCGCCCCGCCGATGCCGGTGCCTGTCGACCCGCCCGGGGGCCCGATGCCTGTCGCCCCGCCTGGGGGCCCGATGCCTGTCGCCCCGCCTGGGGCCCTGATGCCTGTTGCCCCTCCTGGGGGCCCGGCGCCCGCCGCTCTGCCTGGGGGCCCGATGCCGGTCGCCCCGCCTGGGGACCCGATGCCGGTCGCCCCGCCCGGGGGCCCGATGCCTGTTGCCCCGCCTGGGGGCCCGGTGCCTGCTGCTCTGCCCGGGGGCCCGCTGCCTGCTGCTCCGCCCGGGGGGCCCGCTGCCTGCTGCTCCGCCTGGGGGCCCGGTGCCTGCTGCCCCGCCTGGGGGCCCAGTGCCTGCTGCTCCGCCTGGGGGCCCGGTGCCTGCTGCTTCGCCGCCTGCCTCTGCCCGGATCCTGCCCGTGTGCCTCTGCCCGGAGCCCTGCCGTGTGCCTCTGCCCGGAGCCCTGCCCGATGTGCCTCTGCCCGGAGTCCTGCCCGATGTGCCTCTGCCGGAGTCCAGCCCGATGTGCCTCTGCCCGGAGTCCAGCCCGATGTGCCTCTGCCCGGAGTCCAGCCCGATGTGCCTCTGCCCGGAGTCCAGCCCGATGTGCCTCTGCCCGGAGTCCAGCCCGATGTGCCTCTGCCCGGAGTCCAGCCCGCCCGATGTGCCTCTGCCCGGAGTCCAGCCCGATGTGCCTCTGCCCGGAGTCCAGCCCGGATGTGCCTCTGCCCGGAGTCCAGCCCGGTGTGCCGCTGCCCGATGTGCTCTCTGCCCGGAGTCCAGCCCGATGTGCCTCTGCCCGGTGTGCCGCTGCCCGATGTGCCTCTGCCCGGAGTCCAGCCCGGTGTGCCTCTGCCCGGTGTGCCTCTGCCCGATGTGCCTCTGCCCGGAGTCCAGCCCGATGTGCCTCTGCCCGGAGTCCTGCCCGATGTGCCTCTGCCCGGTGTGCCGCTGCCCGGAGTCCTGCCCGGTGTGCCAGTCTTTGATATCCCGCCAGTTACCAGACCCGGCGCGTGGAACATTTTGCCCAGCTAGGACTGTTTGGAGCGTCCTGAGGCCGCTCCTTGAGGGGGGGGTACTGTCAGGAATGGACTGGGCAGCAATATAGTGGGACTCAGCTGCCTTATGAGCTGCAGTACCAGGGCTGGCCAGCGGGTGCTCCCAGCAATCAGAGACTCAACCTTGCAGCCAGTCAAACACCTGGAACTAATTATACTGGTGTATTTAAGGGACATTCAGACCTGCAGACTCTGCCTTGGTGTTGTGTTTCTCTTGGGCCCTGTATCCTGTTCCTGCTCTCTGTTCCTGTCTGATTCTCTGACCCTCTGTACCACGCTGCCCGCTACCTGCTGAACCTGGCTTGTGACTCCGACCATTCTCCGCTTGCTCCCCCTGTACCTACCTGCCCTGACTGATATTGACCCGGCCTGCCTGACGACGCTTGCATTGTATGTACTGTTATCTGTGGGTGGTTGGTTGGTTTGTTTGCACTGTGTTATGTTTTAGTATTGCACTGCGTTTATGTTTGTATGGTTAGTGTTAATAAATTACATTGTTTATAACATATCTGAATTCTGCGTTTCCCTGCGTCAGCCACACACCTCTGGTCACACCCGGGAGCCCTGACAGTCACTCTCTAGCCGTGGCCGTGATTTAGCTGGGCTGCAGGTCGTGGGTGACAGTGGGGGTGACAACTCACCAGGGTCCCCTGGGTAAAGCCGGTGCTGCAGCCTGGGATCCGCGCTCTGGGACCTGTAGTCCTCCTCCTGGCCGTTGCTGCCCCCCCGCATGTCTGTTATGGCGGCCGCCATCTTGGTTTTCCGGCATAACAGCCGGGAAGAAGTTTGTTAACTTCCCTGGCTGCCCCGGGCTCTTTTTCCTGCGGGGCATGTCTAGTGGGCACACTCCGGGAGCTGCCATGTGCTCTTAGTTTTCCCTGGGGGGTCTGAGTGAGCCGCTTCAATGCTGGTTGGTGGATGGAGCAGGAACTATCGTGCGTCCATCCTCGAGCCGGCCGCACATGCGCCCTTTCATAGGCTTTTTTGAGTGTGGGCGAGGACACAGGGGCCCCATGATCCCCTATTGCCCGGGGGCCCCATGAGTTGTCAGTCCGCCCTGGTCTCATGTATGGTCTCCCATTGTAATGTACAGCGCTGAGCGAACTATTGTTGCTTTATAAATACTGTATAATAATAATAATAATTCAAATGCTGCGATACCTGAAACAGATACCTTTGAAGTGTGATTTGAGCCTATACAAAATGAATGGCTCAAATTGCACTGCAAATTGCACCTGCAGGGAAACCGTGTGTGTGATTCGGATAGGAATGGCACCACTTTCCTGTTCAAATCACATGTGATTCTTTGCGGTGCAATTTGAGCCCATTCATTTTGTATGGGCTCAAATTGCACCGCAAAGGTAATCGGTATCAGCTAGTACTTAAGTATTGGTACTCACTGATAAAAAAAAACTGTATCGGTGCAACCCTAGTGGGCAGCTAACTGTATATATTAGGTGTACATCACTTTCTATTGCCATGACCTCTCATCATGATATAGACCACGGGTGTCAAACTGCGCCCCTCCAACAGTTGCAGAACTACAAGTCCCATCATGCCTCAGCCTTTTGGAGTCATGCTCATAATTATAAGCCTTACAATACCTCATGGGACTTGCACTTCCGCAACAGCTGGAGGGCGGCAGTTTGACACCCCTGATATAGACATTAAATGCCCATTGGATAGGACAAACTATATTGATGGAAAGCACAGTGTGGTTCAAATCCTCAGGACAAATCCTATGGTTTTGGGGGCCACTTAAAAATCCAATGCAGCACTTCTGAGAGACTGAAGATATCTCTAGGTGGCAAACAGGCAAAAAGAGCAAAGTGAGCAGACTAAGAGTAGTGGAAAGGGGGCAGAGAGCTGAAAACATATCCTTCAGAGCTCAGTAGGCAGAGCTCTGAGTGCTGATTGAGGGAATGGACACGCCTTCCTCCACACACATCAAAGGAACAGAACTGAGGTTGTCAATCTGTTGAAGGTCCCTCCCCTGTCACCATTTTTCTTTTGGTGTCAGGAAAACTTGTCATAAGTGACTCATGATGATAGTAGGGAAACAAAGCAACGCACAGAAATGACTTAGTGATTTTACTTAAGACAAGCACACACTATAGAGGGATATGCTTTGTTCATATTTCATGTCTGAGGTTTACAACCACTTTAAAGGAAGAAAATAAGCAACTCACATGAAGTAAATTATGCTTATAATGGTTCTCAAAAGGATTCCTAGCTGGGGAAGACACCAAAGAACCTGTCAAAGTGGATGCACAGGATATGGTCTGGATGACACCTGCAATAGCTAAGAGAGACAACATTGTCTACTGCAGAGCAGGGTTCAGGTTGCAGAAGCATCTGTCATTCATCAATGACACTTTATGCATGCACAGGTCTTCTTGCCATGCCTATTTTTTACAGATGCTCACAGGGAATGTAGAGTAGATTATGTTTGCATAATCAAGTGAGCCGTTTGTGCTGCTCCCTTCCATATTTTTCTTTTCTCCAGAACAAAACACCCAAAGAGGCAATGGGAATTTTTGGACTTGCAAGTGTAGTCATATGAAGGAAAGTTTCAAAAAAGCTCAATAGCTCTGGTGAGGCAGTTCCCTCACAGCAAGGCATCCCTCGATGGACACCCAACAGTAGCTAAAATTATAGCATTACGGGAAGGAGCACCAGACCACATCCAGAGAAGAGGCCAAGATCATTGTCATTGTTGGCAAAAAAAGTCATAAAAAACTCCTAATGTGTTTTAGAGGTAGTACCCCCCTCCCCCTTCATTAGGGCTCAGCACAGGATACATCATGGATGGAAACAGAAATCTATATTAGAACCGATACTAAACTATGCACAGCCATGCTAAGCAATTTTCAGGAGCTGACAGGGGAGATAACTGTATTGTTTTACAAACAGTTCTCCCCCCCATCAGAGATGCTCGGCAATCACTGGGCACCGACAAGAAATCACTGGCCGGGACCCGGTGATTGACAGCCGAGGCCACGAATGGCGGCTCGTAGAGGCGTATTTACCACAAGGCAAACAAGGCATTTGCCAAGGGTGCCATTTTTAG